ACAAATTATTCATCTTACCCCCCCCCCCCCCCCCCCCCCCCTTCCCATCCCCACCCCCGTCGCAGCTGCGAATGGATACCCTGGCGCACGTGCTCCACTACCCGGAGAAGCCGTTGGTGACGACGCGTGCCATGGAGCACCTCCACTTCCGAGAGCTCCCGTCGGGGTTCAACGTGATCGTGGGCATCATGGTGTACTCGGGCTACAACCAGGAGGATTCCCTCATCATGAACCAGAGCGCGGTGGACCGGGGGCTGTTCCGATCGTCGTTCTTCCGGACCCTGAACGACCAGGAGAAGGCGAGGAGGAAAAAATACAACAACAACAACAACAACAACAACAACAACAACAACAAATAAGTCGGAGTATCTAGAAGTGGTGAAGAGCGAAGAGGCGCACCGCCAGGAACAAATAGTGCAAAGCTCATGTAGAAATGTCACAAGGTGAATGAGACAGGTCACGAACAGAAGCATGGGATTTTCGGGCTAAGTTTGCAAAGGCGGAGTGTGATTTTTCGTGCGAAGTGACGATGCAGGTAGGTGTTGGGTGATGATTTCAAGGATTCATGCCCTAAACCGGACTGTTTTGTCCCGTTTGGTTTTTGCCGTCTAGGCCACCAGCTAGCTTGGCTGCAACACCCTGCGACACCCAAGAGAAGATGTTTTTAGGTTGGGTTACGATGCCGGCGGGCGTGTGCTGCCCCTGCGACAAGGCGGGGCAGTTAGCCGCACTGTGGTCAATGTCCTTACTGTGTCCGTCCATCTGTCACGGCACCCAAAAAGACGCTCACACAGTTCCGCCCCCCATCAGGCTGGGCGAGGCATGGGTGACATGGCAGTCCTCAGCGCGGAGAGCTTCGAGCGGCCGGCGAGGGAGAACACCGCCGGCATGAAGCACGGCAACTACGACAAGCTCGAGGAGGACGGGCTGGTCGCCCCCGGCACCCGAGTGTCGGGCACGGACGTGCTCATCGGCAAGACGACGCCGCTCGGCGGGGGCGTTGCCGGGGTCACCGGCGGCCCGGGGCACCGGAGCAAGAAGGACTCGAGCACGGTGATGAGGTCGCACGAGGATGGCATCGTTGACCGGGTGATGCTCACGACTAACCAGGAAGGGTTCAAGTTCTGCAAGGTGAGTTTTCGATTTTTTTGTGGGGGATACGGGGGGATCGGGGGGCGCGGGGGGCAACGAGGTTGGGTTAACGCGTGGAAGGTGGAGGTGGAAGGTGGAAGGTGGGAGGCCTTTGTTGTCGTTTTGACGGTAACCAGCAAAGGTTCAAGTTCTGCAACGTGCGTTGTTTTGTTTTGGTGGGACCGCGGGGGGGGCGGGAGGTTGGGTTGGGGTGTGGAAGGTGGAAGGCCTTTTTGACGGTGCAGCAGTGGCCGCCGAGTGATGGTTGTTTTGATGGGAGCGGTGCCGTTGTCGGTGGAATCGTGAAGCAGTTGTTGGTTGGTTGGTTGGTTGGTTGGTTGGTCGGTTGTGGAACCCTGCCGTGTGCGTTGACGTCGCGTCTGTGGTGTCTCGTTGCTGTCATGTCAGTGGACACGACAGAGACGCACCTGGACGCTGAACATACATTAGAGCACAAGAGCAGTACTCAACGTGCGGAAGCCTGCCTCTAATTTGGTGCTTTGATGCGCGACTGACTGACCGTTGTTGGTGTAGGTATGATACTAATAGTGCTTCAAAGTGCGTGTACTCCCGTGTATCACCTCGCATTAGTGACTTGGGAGGGCCATCGACCAAACCAAGACAGGTTCATCGCTCATCGCACATATTTCATGATCTTGATGTCGAGAAGCTCCTGACTTAACACCCCCCTCCCCCCCCCCCCCCGTTTGCCCACCTGTTCTGCCCGTTCTTCCACCTGTATATTCTTTGTCCACCTGCCGCCAGGTGCGAATCCGTAACGTGCGCGTCCCGCAGATCGGCGACAAGTTCGCCTCCCGGCACGGGCAGAAGGGTACCATCGGGATGACCTACCGGCAGGAGGACATGCCCTGGTCGATCGACGGCATCGTTCCCGACATCATCGTTAACCCGCACGCCATTCCCAGCCGGATGACCATCGCGCAGCTGATCGAGTGTCTTCTCGGAAAGGTGAGCTTGGGGGGGGGGCGGGAATTGTTTTTTTTTGTGTGTGTGTAGGGGGGGGGGTCTGCGTGTTCCCTCTCTGTGGGGCCGTTCCCGGTTATTTGTTGTTGCAAAGTTGCAAGTGTCCTTTACCATGGAATTGTTGCCGCCGGCCGTTACGCTTTTTTTTCTTGCAGTGTGCTGGCATTTCCGCGCTTGGGGAGATGAATCGAAAGGAAGTGCTTGTGGTAGTGTATAGCCTTGAACAGCGGTGTTAATCAGTTTTGATAGATGCTGTTGTGTGTTGCTGTTGTTGCTGTTGGCTCTTCGGTTCTTTGGCTTGCACCCTCCTCCCTGTCTGCCGTTATCTCACGGGCGAGGCGACGTTTCTTGGCTGAAAAGTTGTTGGGTGCTACGTGTGGCGTGGCAATCCATGTGCAACCATATCCCGCATCCGACCGCGTTTTCATCGTCAGATGGTGATCACGATAGTCCTCGACTCAGTTGTGCTGCCGTTGACCCTGAGCCATTGTACGTGGAAGGCTCCCTGGTTGTAATTCCTGCATCTTGGTAGGTTTACCTTGCGCGTTTTTAGGTGTGTGCCTTGTGTGGTTGTTATTTTGGCGAGTTTTTTTTTCTTTGCTTTTCTCTATTTTTTGTTCATGTTTTATTTCTGTTCTGTACGTTGATTGGTCGAAACAGGTGGGTGTGCTGACGGGAACGGAAGGCGACGCCACGCCCTTCACGGACGTGACCGTGGCGAACGTGAGCAGCACCCTGCACAAGATCGGCTTCCAGAAGCACGGCAACGAGGTCATGTACAGCGGCCACACGGGCCGCATGCTCAACACGAAGGTGCGTGTGTGTGTGTGATGTGTGTGCCGAACGCATGTATCGCGTTGCAACGGCAGCCTTTTTTTTGCCAGGGTTAACTCCCTCCGTCCGCCAGTTGGGCCTCTTCCTGAGGCGTGTCCCTCCTGTCAGCGCTGACTGAGTAGTCTAATGGTAAGCCTTTCTAAAACCTCCTTTACGTGCACGCTATCACAAGCGTAAGCTACGACTATAATAGCGTCAGGTGTGGTGGCTGGGCAGATTGCGGTTGGGCTGGTTGGGGTGCGGTGCCTGCCGGAAAAGCAAAATCGAAACAACACGAGTGCAGCACCACCACCACCACCGCCGTTGTTCTCCCGACACCTCTACTCACCGCTACCAAGTCCGGAAGCCGGTCGAATCGCGTATGGCACCGGACGGACGGTCGTATGTGCATTCCTCGCCTCGTGCATCTTGTTAACTATTCTCAGAACACCTCAAGAGTTGCTATTGCCACTCGACGGTTGCTTCAGAACGAGCTCCCTTCCTGCCCGTGAGGCCCAAGGGTGGACCTTCACCTCCTCCTGGCAGGTTGGGCGGCGGCCGACTTGTCGCCGACGTCGTCTGAGTCGGCGGCCGTCGATTCACGGGGAGGGGGGGGGGTTCCCATCCGACGAGAGGGGCTTCGAACGGTTTCCCTCAGGGGTGGAGGGTTAGGAGTGTCATAGTCGAGGTCGGCGCTGGCATCGCTGCCCGGCGCTGGTTGATTCGTTTTTCTGGGCTTGGGGGGTAAAATCCACCACGCACCCAAACAGACTCAAAAATGTCAACACTTGTCGCGAGACAAGAGAGCAGTCACACCGTCGGTGACTATGAGACACTGCTGTCGGTGACTGTGAGACAGGGGTGGATCTCCAGGTTAACGCTTGTATGGCTCGAGTTCCTTCGGGGATGTGTGTTACATGTGGGGACACACCAGTTCAGCTTCTTGCGGGAGGGGATGAAGAGGAGAACGGAAGGGGTTGTGAGCAAGGGGGCTAGCTGTACTTGCACGCGGGTGGCTCAGCGTCCGCTGTCCACTGACTCTAACACCCCGAAGGTAGGTCTCCGACCAGTCACTATCCACGACAGCCTGAAGCGACATTCACGCAAATAAAGGAATAATCTCGCCGCCATTCCCTCCTCGCCCCAAAACACCCCCCCCACCCCCCA